AAAAGAAAAATAAATTACTTCTTTATTAAATATAAATTAAATTATAAATAAAATATTGAAATTAAAAAAATTACACAAAAAACCAGAACTTTAAATAGTAAATTTGATACTACTATCGATATATTTTTTCCCCAAATTTTTATGATATATTTAAATTTATATTTTATTCAAAAATAAAAACATTATCGTTTTCTTAAAACCACTAAAAAAAACCATAGATAAATAATAAAACGAAACATTAAAATTGAGATATATTTCGCCATATTGTTTGAGTTCCCTTCTAGTTTTTACAAAAGCTCTTAGTATTAATCATCACAATTATTTGTGTTCAAAATTGAGGATGATTGATTTGTTTAAAAGTCAAGATTGAGAGCGAGTGTTAAAATTTGTCATATAATTCTAAATCTAAAATATGTAGATATTTTGATCTCTTCATCTTTTTCTTTACGTTTTTCTAAATCTAGATTAAGATACATTTTAATATTGTTCTTAGTTTAGTTTAGATCTTATTCTTGAAGTAGATTTTGTATATTGTATTCTTGTTGTTTGATAAAATAAAATCATTTTCTTCAAACATAATCCGTTTTAACAGTGAGACCGTAATGGTCCACATGAAATTGAGTGGGTTGGCCGTGAAGTTGTTTCACGGGGTTTCATTGTCGGTTTAGATTGCGATCTTGACGGAATGATCATCCATATGGTATATGACTGATGTGACTACCATGACTAGATATCCATACGGACTATGCTCTTGCAAAATAGTACTATATATTTCACATGCATTGTTTAACAACACATGAAAACTCTTTCTCATGGTAAAATTTCTTTAAAGAAAAAGATATTTAACGATGTTTATATATCGTATAATCAATTTGTATTACGCTTCATAATTTTCAAAAGAGCAAATAATAGTCGAGGCAGGGTGCCTTTAAAATGGGCTTTAGACTTTGGGTAAATGCCCAAAGATGTTGGGCTTATGTTTGGGTGGATCTAGGTTCGGGTCACATGGTTTCATCCAGTAGCTGACTTGCAGGTTCATGTATTTTGGTCATTTTATCTTTTTTGTCATGTTCTTATTAAAAATAAATATATAATAACTTCTTATCATATACGTGTGTCTATATATACATACACACACGTCACATTCCCACTGTTAAAGAAAGTAAGCACTTACAACATCTCTCTCACAAAGTGACAAATCTAAAAAGCTAAAAAGAAAACTCGAAAGTTATGTCAAATTCTTATGATAATGCATGCGTAGAAGAATTTGATTTGAAGAAAATTGATAACATTTTGAATGTTTATTTGCTATCAGAGACATGGAATTAGCATTGACCAAACATAAATTAGATTCGGTCTCAAATGTGTAGAAAGAGAGGTCAAAAGAACACCCAGATAAAAAGGAGCGAAATGAAGGCACTAAATGACATCGAATTAAGTTCCTAATTTAGATTGTGTTAGTTAGGTGACGAGAAAAAGAAAAGAAACCCATCTAAATCTACACAAGAAGAACGAAATTGACTTTCTATTGTGAGGGACGAGTGATTGGAGATGGAGATGGTGGTAACGAGATTGAAGATGGAAGGTCTTGGTCGGAGATGGTGACAGGTTGCGTCTGTGTATGTGTTTTTAATCTTACTAAATGGCATTTGGTTTAGCGGTATTCGGGTCTCTGGCTTTCTTGAAAGCCAATGGTTCAAATGTTTACTAAAGGTGAAGGTATGCAAGTTTACTTGTCGCATTTACATAAATATTATATATACTTTAAAAAAAACTTTTATATCTTTTTAATAAAAAAGAGGGAATTGTGAAAATGACCAAAATACCCTTGTGTTAAATGAGTTAATAAAATATATATTTTTTAACAGAGGTTTATGGACTATTTTATGTAACATCCAAAAAAGAAACTATGATCAATCATATTATAAAATAAATTCACATCGAGATTTAGGGGCTGTTTACCAAATGCTTACTCGGGTAAGCGCTTACCAAATTACATTACCTCACCGGATGAATGTGGTAAGGACTAAGAATCTTACCTGGTAAGAGCGAGACAAGGACCAAGAGTCTTACCCGGTAAGTGAGAGCGACGACTCTTACCACGGTAAGCGCTTATCGTGTAAATTGTTACATGCGATGTCGTTTTGGTGGACTAAAATCTTACCTGATAAGTAAATAATAGTGTAAAAATTTACCAGTAAACACTTACCGGGTAAGTATTTAATAAACGATCCCTTATTTTATGAACGTAACATATCCTAAATTTAAACACTGTAGAGATGTCGTAGGGTTTTATTTTGGAACACAACAAACCATATATTCATAATTAAACATAATACATTGACACATTAATCACTTCAAAACATGTTTTAGCAAATCTTACATATTATTTCGACACAAACACAAGATCTCCCCTAATACGATGCCACCTTCTCGTCGTCATTCTTCTCCATGCCCGGTAATATGAACAAGTCATTTCCGTTCCTACGCGAACAATTTGCACGGATTTCTCCTTGTGTGCCCGTCAATACGCTCAATTGGCTCATCTTAATCATTGCATTCACAAAGTTTTGGAAAAACAACGTTTGATTGATAGCAAAGTTCGTGACGATACCCCGAGTTCTGCTATCTGTATATAGGTCTTGGTCGGAGGTGAAAAGCCCTTGGCGGTTCATGAGATCGACGTAGTACCTATTGTCAAACACATTTGGAGACCGAATGTCCATGAAGGTGGTATTGGTCGTATTTAACGCAGGACATGTAGTTCTTAGATTGTTGAAAAAGGTTTGGTCCATAGTTGGGTCTCGCGATGGGAAGAGGCGGGATTCAAAAGAGGTGCAATGGGCTATCCCGATGGTGTGGCCGCCAGAGAGCGCCACGACGTCAGTGGGGTTGAACCCTTTCAATGCAAGGGAATTCAATAGAGTTGTCGTGTTGGCGAAGGGTGGAGGAAGGTTGGCTAGCGTTACGTTTGTTGTGGCAAAGTTAAGCCCGTCACGTCTTCCTAAGGGTATGTTGTAGTTCGGTCCACCAGACTACAAAAACAATTAAATAGATATATTAACATCGGTTGATGCGTATAAACTCTAGATATTATTTGAAATTGTGAAAAAACAATAAAAACGTGAACTAGGTTTGACGTTAATTTACCAAGACAACTGCGTCACGTGCAGCAAGAGCAGTAATATCAGCACAAGAGACGGTTCGATTGCAAGCATTATGCACGAGCGTGCGAAGATTTTCGATGATAACAAATGCTTGGGCTCGCAAAGTCAAGTTTGGTATTGCGCTTTTCTCACTCGGTCCACTAGCGGAACCATCGAGCAAGACCGAGCCGTCACAACCCTAATGATGTTGAGATTACATTAATTATATACATACAAAAAAAAATTATGTCAAATATCGCAGCATAAAGTGATATAACGTTAGATTTGATTTGCATTTTGTAAGAAAAATGGGTTGTTTGGCAGTTGCTAAATGATTTAACATAGGATGATTAAGTGGTCGGAATGAGTAAGAGTTTCTCATGATATACTGCAAAATGAAATATAATTGTCTGATAATTGTTTACAAGAAAGTTAGGGTGTTGAATGGTTAAGGGAGACCTTGGATACAAAATCATTCAAAAGGTTTTAGAACCATTAAAAGACAGATTTTTTTTTTGCCAAACAAGATTTATCTTTTAACGATTCAAAAACTGTCTCATAATGGAACTATTAAGAGTTAAACAAACAACTCCAAAAACATTGTTTGACAAACATAAATTAGCTTATAAGTTACTTTTTTTGGTACATGTTTGGATGTACATAACTTAACATATTGAAAAGCTAGTTGAAGTAGTTTTTTAAGAGCTTATTGTCATTCTTTTCCAATTATAACTCTCATTAAAAATAATTGTTATTTATTATTAATAAATGTTAAGTATTAATCTTTAGTTAATATTTATTTCATTTTATTAATTATTTTTT